CTTGAAACGACTCTGCTTCACATACAAGGTGTTGTTTTAAAGCCGCGTCATTTTCTAGGAGGTTACTCGGGTATCGATTCTGAGTCCGAATCTATAAAAAAAATGTAGGAAAATATTTTTCATTTTTCTGTAAATTACGGAAATCCGTAAGTGCGAACTACATGCCGCCGTCTTGTAACTAGCTTTATAACGCGACTTAACACACACAAACTCAAACACGTAATTAATATTATTCCTAATTCCATAAAACTCCAATAAGAAGCATTGCTGTCGCTTTTTCTGAAATATTGTCGAACTAAAACGATTTATTATAGCCGTATTTTTAACTATTGGCCCGAAACTTTCTCTTACATTGAACCTTTATGACTTCTGTGACATGTCCCCGAGATATGACACGGCTTCAAAACTACACCTTGTATAATAATGGTATCTAATAAATGCCACAATAAATAATCTTCAATTAGACCACACTATGTTTTCGATCCAGGACACATAGTTCGCGACCCGAGTATATATTCCAGGCTCCCCAACGAAGCCACAAGCTCTGCCGAATGACGTCACACCCACGACGGTATACATGCAAGATACATTCTGGTTCTTGATCTGAATTGGACCTCCGCTGTCACCCTGGAAATAAAAAAATATATTATTCGAAAATCGGTGGAAATTTATAGGTTTGAGAAGAAAAATACGACGGCTAACTTTAAGAAAAATGTAATTAGAACGACTAGATAATTGTGACAAATTTATTTGACTAAAATCCCTAGATTTATAGCCGTTTTCACCAAACCCCAATAAACCATCTCTTAACCAAGTGTTACTTAGTTTTATTATTTCATTTAATTGATTTGGCTCACCAACGATTGATTACACTTATACAATATAGGGTTACATTTACAAAAACTTAAAAACTAAGTAGTGCATCAATCTATTATAGGTAAGCACAACATGCATTATATACTAAATGGTTTACAAATCACTATGATCAGAGACAGGCAAATCCAACCATTGACATGGATTAGTTGATGGAGCACCTAACCACTCTGACGTCCATGTATAGTACGGTATTAAAAAAAACAGTAGCGTCATACGCCCACAGACTGTAGCATTCAAAGCAAAGAGTTGTGTTTAACTCCATCTAGTTTAAAATACGGTATTGTTTGGTGAGTTTTGACAGATTATCTATACGGCTGATGAAATAGTTCGTTCGTAAATCATCTTTTTTGGTATGTTTTCTTTATTCTAGCCATTATGGTTCTATGCCGAAGTTGCGCCGACGCGCGCGGTTTGGGGTGCCGCGTGCGGCTGGACGTTAGAGAGACAAACTATCGCACAGACCAGACGTTACAGTGGCTAATCCCTTACTTGTACCATTAGGTTTCACTTAGAGGTTAGCAACCAACATGTCGTTAAGTGTCACCTATATTAGCGTAAGGTTTTTTTTAAGGGGGGAAAATCATCGAATGACTTCTCCCACCTGGGTGAGGCGGGAGGGAGTGTCAGACTCTTACTGACTAAAAACCACCCCGTTCCTTCTCCTGCACGTCGAGCCGGAGCCCCGGTTACCCGTTAGGTTCTCCGCGACAGCTTAGGGGTTTGGGCTATGTCCGCGCGTACCTGGCAGGTATCCTTGGAGACCAGCTTGTCACCGTAGCACAGCTGACTCTGAGCATCAAACCCTTGCTTCATCAAGCGCACAGGTGGGTATTTGGCTGAACATTCAGCTGTAGAGAATTTGTTTAATACCACCTGGAACATAAATCAAAATGTTAAGCGCAAACGCAAGCAGCAGGCCG